TCTGGGAATTTAAAACTGATATTTTGTTATATAGGTACAAATGTTACACTGTATTCAGCAATGCGACGGTGAGGGCGGTGACAGTGAGTTCGCAGATGGATTCAAAGCAGCACTACAACTGAAAGAAGAAAACCCCAAAGCATTCAAGATACTTACAACGACGTTGCTGGATTTCTACAATATTGGGATAGATTATTATTCTTATCATTTTAACAGACAAGCTCCAACTATCTCGTGCGTATGAATATCATTCATACCTGGTTCACCAGTGACATAATGGCTCTAATCACACACAACCAGTGTTCATTGCATTAAGATTGTTTGTTCGATCATTGTATACTCAGGTTATGATAATGAGGCAATTATATGGCCTAAATGTTTTCTAAATTTGTGCACACTAGTTTAGAAAATATACTATGATATACATATATAGCACATAATATAACAAATAATTTAAAATAAAACAAAACAAAACAAAATTATCTAATCTTGTTGCCTCATATAAAAAGATGTGATTCACAGCAAAATGTAACATACATGTCGTTATGTTTTTTTGTTAACAGCGTTGGAAGACATGGAAAGATAGAAGCAATCGCTTTCAGTCAAACTACTCGGTCTAGTATGATGCGTATTCCAGTGGAGCAGGTTGAAGCAGTGTTTGAGGCATTAAAAGCTTTTGACGACATCCTTAACAGTTCGGACAATATTATAAAGTATAAAATGGAATCGGGTAATTACCTAATTATATTATGAGACGATAATTATGAACATCATCTTCTTGTGAATTATAATTATGTGTACTTTATGCAGAAATCAATATGAGTGATAGTGATAGATGTATGTTAACATTTTTATTAACGTCTGTGTGTCCCTGTCATATTTTTAGGTGATATGGTCGCTTTTAACAATACCCGGATACTTCATGGAAGGTCTGCATTCACGGTTGGGCAGCAGGGTAGCCGTCATCTAGAAGGCGGCTACATTGATTGGGATGAAATCCGTTCCAGACTGAGAGTTCTGAAAGCAACCCTAAATGCTGACTCTTAGTGGGATGTAAAATTAATGAACGTATACTATTGTGTAGAAGTATAACAGTTGATGGAGATGTTGCGAGTCACAAATATTCAGAAAACAAAATAGTTTTATAATTTATACGAGCCTAACTACTGTATTGTACAGTGCTTTATTTATGCGGACGATAGACGCTACACGTGTTTGTACACGTGGTGATTATTCCGATTCTTGCAGCAGTTCGTTGGCAAGTGTCATGACATCGTCTCATGTACACCAACACTCATGTTCACATAGTTTAGCAATACAAACATTCGAATGTTTATCTACTGAGTCGAAATTTGATAATTGGATATCTGCATGCACATTTGATAAATATGACATATGAATACTATATAGTATAGAGGCATATTATCCAATCAAAACGACACCACATGTTTACTATATAAGCATCGATTTTATTACAGAGAAATAACAATTAAAGCATAGTTACGACTACAAAATGTCATAATTTACTCGCTATGAGTATATGTATATTATGGTGAGCCAATGAATTACTAAAACATAGTAGTTGATTTTATTTTTAGGTGAATATGATATTTTATTTACCGATAACAAGACTTGCCTCTAGGTTCAAACTTGAATTAGACATTGTCATTAGTACATATATTACGCCTAATTAGACACATGTTTACACCTATTAAAGTTACAATTTGCGTCTAGGTCGTCTAGCCTACGTTTGCTAGACTAAGTTTAAATAATCGTTCAAGTTGTAATAAAGAAGAGTTGTAATATTTTAAATGATAATCTGGTACAACCTTGCTGACTCAACAATGCTTGTTCCCCAGTAAATGGCAATTGTTGAGAACAAATAAACAAGTGAATTGGTGCTGTTTAAGGTAGAGATGCAGGTTCGTGGGCACTTGGGAGTGAAATATTTTTTTTTTGCTTTTTGTTATCCAAACAGTCTTGGCTGTAGATTGTTAAAATTTTGTAGAATTGTGAATAGTGGAACATACTCAAAAGACGATTATAAAATATAGATAACGGGTGCAAACATTATCTCTTTTGAATGCTTAGCAAGATTTAGCAAGGCTGTACATAAATAATAAAAAAGAAACATGGTGAAAAAAAGAAATTACGGGATTTCCATATTATGCACTATATTTAACTTTTTGCAAAACGATAATACATTTAAATTTGGAACTGTTACAGCCATTTTAATTATGAGCATTAGCAAACTTCTTACTGAGTGAATGGTTATGCAAATTAGCAATTATCTCAGCTTCTTTTTAGTGCACATCCCAGAGCTCCTAGACGCTTTGACCTTTTGTTTTGAAATTTTCACAAATGATTGACGATGTGTTTATCTTCAAAACGCCGTCGGGGCATTGTTTCTGGTTGAATAGTGGTACAACAATCGCACAGACAACTAGCCTGGGTGTTAATTTATGCATAAACGTGAAGTAGTGAAATTTGAGCTGCTACTAACAAAATTTTTAAATTCATACAATAAGCTTTCTGAAAATATATAGTTTTGTGGACAAGGGAGGTCATCTTGGTTTCCTAATTAACTAATTAAATACCTGTCAGGTAAACTGCATCTCTACCTTAAAACAATATTATTGTGAAAGGAACGTTGGGGTAAGTGGTCTTCGGTGAGCATGTCGGATATCTCTTAAACTGCAGAGATACATATTTCCACCCAATGGAATACCCATAAGTTTATTACAGATAGTCAAGTTTTATTCATTCAAACGGTCAGCTGATGTGACCCCTGGCCCACGCCTTACAAACTCTCCATTAAAACACTAAGGCCTGGCAGAGTAACTATGCTATCAGCCAATTGGTGCAGTTGCTGGCACGATGACGTGCGTCTCACGGTTAAAGTTAATGCCAAGTTGCCACTACTGAATACAATTATTAAAAATGTATTTATAAAGAGTATACTTAATGTCTACGTTAAACTTACACATTTTATGAACCCAGTTCATATACGCAATGTCGTTATGGTAAAATTACTTTCCTGATAAATGCACGCACAAAAAATGTTTATAATTGAAGGTTAATGTACTGTTTGAAAAATGGCGACAAGCCAAAAAAAAGTAGTATTACTTATCATAAATCGTGGGTTATCCACATATTTGTGCATCTATGACCTATAGTAATCAGACAGGAACTCACTGATTGAAATAATTGGCAGAACATGTTATTTTTGTTATCACTCAGATGATATGGGCATAGTACACACGACACAAGAAACCTCGAGCTACAAACACTAGAATGTATATACATAACGTGTCAGATGTACCATGACGCATAATAACAAGTGCTACTGATTGCTACTTTGATCGTCAATTCTTCTTCTTGTGCCGAGTTAGAAAAAAATACTGAACAGGTTTTTCTCAAATGCAAATAGGTAAGCGGCAGACCTGATTTTCAAAATTGTGACTGTCCAGTAGTTTGGCAGTCATTATGGATTGATTTTTACAACATAAATGGCTATTTCACAACTTTCTGGGGGTATAGGCGACCTGATTTGATGTGCCATACAGTATAGCACATGTGTCATGAATTTGTTTTTGCGTATCTGTTGACCGACTTAATTAGCTGATTATTAGCTGAATTGCTGTGTTATGTCTGTCATCGTTTAGGCCTATTTGAAGTTTTGGACGGAACTTGGCTCAGTGATTTGGAACTAATTACCAGATAACCGCCGCTATTCAGACTACTCATTCTGACAGTTTATATTCATAGTTATTAATGTAGTGAACGATTAATCAACAGATATGACGTATTCAGTACTTAGTGTGATTGGCTTTATGATTGAAGGTTACGCCCTAGAGTCTTTTTACTGTTTTGTAATTGGTTAGAGTTTTGAAAATGAATAAAGAGAGTTTGAGTTGGTCTTGGGGAGCACAGCACGATAGAGGCAGTCGAGTCCAGTCCTGGAGAGCCTTGGGGCGAGTGTTGACGCAGTCTAAGAGAGTCTTGGTTCAGCCTTGCGATAGTCTTGGGGATTTTTCCCCAGGGCGCTGTGTCTTATAGAGTGCTCGACTGATCGACTAAGACGAGAGCTGAAACGTATTTCGTTGTGTGTGTCTTATTTGACTGTAAAGTATAAGTGACTTTCCCGATCCCGCACCTCAAGGGGACGAGACATAGAGACGAGACGAGATTCCCCCCTGACAAGTGTGGAGAACCCAGTGAGAGAAGATTTCCCCCTGACACATGTGCAATAGATATATAAACATAATTAAGCAATAACACATATTTAGCGGTCACGGTACTTTTTCTGCCATGAAAAATAAGACAAAACCGTTTGAAAAATACTTTTCTCCAGAACCACTGGAAGCATTGACCCTTTGTTTTTAACATCTGTACATAAGCACAATGTGATATTGTGCAACATGCATTTACCTCTTCCACTTTACTATTAAAATCTTTTAAAGTTTCATTTTTATTTATTTCGCAAATAACAACTCCCCCGCTTTAAATGGTTCATATATGATATTTATGTACGTACATCATACCTGATCAATGAACCAAGGTTAAATGAGCCAGTCACATAGTGGTACGTTCCGCAGCTGTGAATATTATTAGCAGTAATAACTGGCCTGGAAAAAAGTTTATCGATTATGTGTTTACTATTATTATTTATTTTTACAAAGTTGGCTTATATCAAAATTAATGCTAACATTACTAGGTAAAATTCTACTAATATTAACTCTCTATCTTTAACAGTAAAAGGGGGATTTGGATATGGCGACATATTTATTGACAGACAAATCTACTGGTGGTAAATTGTGTTATGGGTGATCCTGTGATGTGTGTGGACGCGACTTAAAAATAAAAGGACGGTCAAATGTTCAAAGGTCACCTCTGTTTGCATGAGTAAACTGTGTCTGCACTACATATGTACTAGTGCATATATAGTAGTACGCTGCATTCTCATCATCCTGTCAAACAGCCTACGTGTTCTATCCGCGATGCAGTCCGCCACCAATGTAGACGATGAAAGATTGGTTATGGTGACTTTCGCAGATGGCTTGCAGAGTAAATACCCCTACATATGGTTGCTCGATAACTGTCTGTGTTCTAAGTGTTATATCCATTCAGCTAATCAACGTCGGTTACTGTTCAGTCAGTTAGATTTTCAGGCAGCTCCTGAATCAGTGACGATTACCGCAGATGGAGCGAATCTCACCGTTACGTGGTCCAAAGAACATAGTAGTGACTACACCGCTGACTGGTTACGCACACACCAGTTTGATTCCTCGAAACCAGACGAGGCTGCAGAGCCACATCTGAATATATGGGGTGCTGAGATGGTGAATACAATACCCACATACAACTTTGAAAGTGTCATGAACGACGACGCCGAGCTATACAAGTGGCTTAATTCATTGAATACAACAGGCCTGGCATTGATTAAGAATGTACCTCGTAAAGTTGGGCAAAATGAGCGTATTGCCAATCGGGTCTCTTACCTGAGGCCTACAAATTATGGGTAAGCCTACAGGTTTTAAGGAAGCACATCACAATTGTTCAAGATTGATTTGATTGATTGGCGATCAGACCCTGACCCCGTTCTGATATTCTGACATACTGTGATTGTTATGTTGTGTTTAGTTGACACAGTTCAAAAACACATACTGCGTTTATGTGTGAGCACGCGTTAATAGTTCTCTAAAAACAACAACGCCTACTTTTTGAAACAGGTTATTTTGAAAAAAACTACGCAAAATTATTGGTTTTGTATCAGCTTCGGTAACAGATTTGATTTTAGATTTTAAACGAATGATGTTTTTGAGGCATCCCCCGTCGCCGAATTAAACTATTATTAAACAAATTATAATTCATTTGACATATTTGTTTATAATGTATTTCTAATTGACCATCTGTTTACAGTCATTTGTTTGTAGTAACGCATTCTTGTGCACCTGTAAATATTATACATGTAGATGTGAAGTTTTTTATACTCCCATATAATGAATACATTCGCGTGTGATCATTTATGAACGTTCGACTATTCTGTTGCCACTATCTACCTTTACTAACCAGCTCTACCGGTAGAGCAGAATATTCTCACTCTAGCAAAAACTCTATATCACACTTTAATATATGTATCATTTCTTATCCATTAATTGTTGTGAATGATCATTTCCGCTCATGTAGCAATTTAATTTCTGTCCCACTGTACACATTGACCTATGTATGTGTATAAATGTCTCATGTAAATGTAATTCGTTTCATGTTTGTCATTTATTGCAGGGTCTTTTTCACAGTAAAGAGTAAAATGGGTGCCAGTAATGCAGCCTATACCACAGCCAGACTTGGTCTGCACACTGATTTGCCATTCTATGATCATACACCTGGGGTGAGTGTTTATGTGTAACTCATTTCACCAATTAAAAAGTTCAAACACTCTAGTAAGCAAGTAGTTACATAACTGTGTAATATAAAAAAAGAAATTGTATAAGCGAACCTACAAATAGATTAAATTAGGTTGGCAGCTATTGACAATACATTTGACTATGTTAACACTGTTACATCATGACAAAATGTTTCAAGGCATTCCAAGAAGTCTTCTGACAGAGGTATACTGCTTACAAGCCACGAATTCAACATGACCCATATTGTTTGTTTTTAACCATGCCAACATCTCGTATTCATCGACAGATGCACAAATGGGGACGGTTTGATATATGACAACAAGAACCTTGAGTACAAGTTTCTTTAAATTGTTAACAATTTCAGCGATTTTCTGTTACTGTTAACACAGACATATGACACATGTTTTGAACTTTAGAATGAAGAAGATAAACATATAACAGCACCAATAATATCCCATTTATGTGCAACACGACAACCAAAACACAAACTAACACAAAAATATATTTTGTCAGAAACAAATAAATCGGTTATTGTAAAGTGTCCATACGTACAACCAATGATATTTTGGTGACGATATTCATCACTAATAGAATAAATTAAAATTAATGATCTCGTTATATAGGTACAAATGTTACATTGTATTCAGCAATGCGACGATGAGGGCGGGGTGAGCGAGTTCACTGATGGTTTTAAAGCTGCACTACAGTTGAAAGAAGAAAACCCCAAAGCGTTCAAGATACTGACGACGAGCTGGCTGGACTTCTTCGATATTGGGACTGATTATTACCCCTATAATTTAACTAGACAAGCTACACCCATTGGGTACGTACAAGCTAACTAACTGCCATCATATGATACACAAGGAAAAAAATAAAATCAAGTCAAATTTACTTTACCTTTTTTTTGTTAACAGTCTTGGAAGGAATGGAGAGGTGGAACGTATCAGGTATAATCAGACCTGCCGATCGACTATGATGCGTATTCCAGTGGAACAGGTTGAGGCAGTCTATAAAGCATTGAAGGCTTTCGACGAAATTCTCCACCATAAGGACAATATCATACAATTTAAAATGGAATCAGGTAAATAATCTTAACATTCTATTATTTTATTATTATTTGTAGACCTAGTATTGTTTTGTTTTGTTTTTGGAGTTAGTAGTTGACCTGTGTTTGTTGGAATGATACGTTTAATGCACCTTTTTATAGGAATATTTATTTTTTCTTAATTCATCATTCAGGAGACATGGTCGCCTTTAATAATATTCGTGTCCTCCATGGAAGGTCTGCCTTCAAGATTGGGCAGCAGGGTAGCCGTCATCTAGAAGGTGGTTACATTGATTGGGATGAAATCCGTTCTAAGCTGAGAGTTCTAAAAGCATCCCTAAAGTCGCCTCTTAGTTGGGTATAATAGAATGTATGCAATTATGTAGAATTATCACTGTTAATATATGTTTCAATAGAGTAATTATTATTACCTCTCATTTTGATAATTTAAATATTAGTATTTAATATTAATGTTTATCTGTACCATACACGTGTAGACAAAAATAACTTACTAAGTTCTACTACCACTGTTTATTATACGGTCATGTAATGGGTTGGTATGCACTATATTCAAAATTAAATATTATCGTGTGTGAATATTGTTGCACACTCCATCAATTTTGGCGCGGAAAGTACTTTTAGCGGGAAGAATGATTTACATACATAATGCAAATAACATAGTGAGTACTATTTAGTAGCATACTTTAGGAAGTAATATGAATACTATCATCTGGTTTCCATGATTACCCTATATTTACGCTTTGAGATAATGTTGTCACAGCAGCATGCTTATTAACTTTGCGAGAATGTCTGAATCACAGATACTTTTTAACACAATTTTCCCCTCTCTGCTGCCTTATGAAGATATAAAGATTTTCTGAATAAATATAAATAATATTCCATGTTGACGCCATTGTATACGACCACTCATATAGCTGATATATTCCAGGCGAGTCGAAGAAGACGACACACAAGTAATAATTATCATGGGATTATGCATTTATAATATTTGAACGCACGATACCCAGGCGCATGACAAATGGGATTGTTCTGGCGAACTCTGGTCCAAAATATTATGGGACACAGACACGGGCATACGTCGCAGACCGTTCTTGATTGTGCAAGATTTTCCCTATTTTACAGATTTTTATCAATATTTAACACACTTATATGGCTTTCAATAATACTATAGCAAGTATTTCGAATTTACCACAATTAAATTCGCTAACACCGCCACCAATGTGAACTGCATATCTGTTCGTAATGATAGTTTTTGGTTTCTTCTTTTTTTGTGTGATTATTGTTGTCATTATTTCAGTTTGGAGATTAGTAAGAATAATTGTTCGAATCATACTAACGAATTCTCGGCATACAGAAATGCTCAACGATATAACCTTAATATAATTATATTGATAGTTTTACTTGTTATCCTTTTTGTTCTAAACTCCACGTTTTGTATACGTACATGTTTCAAAACAGTACTAACATATATGAAATAGCGGCCACGCAATATCTCTACAAAACTGACTCGTTGATTCTCCACAAGAAGACATTTTCCAACTTTTTTGAACGAAAAATTACACCAAAAATTCTGCATGAACGACCATTCATACTTCATATCACTATACATCACCACAAACAAATTCGCCAAAGAAAAACGACCTACTACTAGTATAAATCACACTTAGTTTCTGTTTAGGAGCTGTTCAAGGTCATATGTTCACCACGGGTGATACAATTAGATTATTGGTTGATTCAGTTTATTGTTGACTGTCAATCAAAAAACGCTACACTATATATGTAAGAGTACATTCAGTTACTCGGTGCATTCTGATACCCTGTCCTGCACCTAGTTAGATCGTGCTTTATCCACGATGCAGTCAGCCACCAGTGTAGATGAACAGAGGTTGTTGAAGGTGATATTCATAGATGGTTTGCAGAGTAAATACCCCTACATATGGTTGCTCGATAACTGTCTGTGTTCTCAGTGTTATATCCATTCAGCTAATCAACGTCGGTTACTGTTCAGCCAGTTAGATTTTCAGGCAGCTCCTGAATCAGTGGCGATAACCCCAGATGGAGCGAATCTCACCGTTACATGGTCCAAAGAACATAGCGGTGACTACACCGCTGACTGGTTACGCACACATCAGTTTGATTCCTCGAAGCCAGACGAGATGGGAGAGCCACAGCTGAATATATGGGGCGCTGAAATGGTGACTAAAATACCTATGTTCGATTTTAATGACGTCATGAATAATGATGCTGAGCTATTCAAGTGGCTCGATTCGTTGAACACGTCAGGCCTGGCATTGATTAAGAATGTACCGCAGAAAGTTGGGCAAAACGAGCGTATTGCTAATCGGGTCTCTTACCTGAGGCCAACGAATTATGGGTAAGCCGATTTTTGTTTGCTTGTCTGTGCAGCGTATTTTTATAGAACGAAATCCGCACAATTGCTTTAATGAAGTAACCTGCATTTGTATCACAGTGGTGATAAACATAGTATCCACGGATTTGTTAGACCTCCCTTCCATTTATGTTTTCATGAATAAATATAACACAGGTTTAGCAGGTGGCCCGAATTAAAGGGCGGTTGTCGCAGCGCAGCGCGTGTGCGAATTTCATGCAAATAAATAATGTAATTTACACGCGTTGTATACATCGTTGTTAGTCCCATATCGAACAGAACGCAGCACGACGACCACTGACGAAATATACTTTAAGTTATCATGATTCACTCTACTCTTTGTTTTAAATACAGTTTATAACAATTTGGCAAATTTGGTTGGATGTGAGTACAGGTAAAGGAGTCTTGTATTGTTGTCACACTGTTCGATCATCCTTGCCTTTAGTATATATGTAGTCTCAAGTATATAAAATCACCTTGTCAGCGGATTTGCAAGTTGTCAGTGGGTCATCCACATTGAACCCGGATGATATACATTTGACTGATCATCAATCATTTGATTGACTGGCGATCAGACCTTGACCCCACGCTGACATTCCGTTATCCGTCTTGAGTTTTGTGATGACACGGTTCATCATTTGATATAAAAAAAACTATATATTACTATAATGTGCAGTTTAAAGCTGTCATAACTGCTAGTAATTAGGACTGTATTTCCCAAAACGTTTTTAAACGGACTATTTTGAATGGCGTTGGTCGTCATATTTCACTCATTTAAAAAGACCTGGTCTCAAGCTAACATGAAACATTTTATATTCTTAGCCATGTATTTTTTTGAACTTGAGGCCGGTATTAAACGAATCTTACAATCTTCTGAATATGAATGAACATCATAGTTATATAATTTTTTTGTTTTTTGTTTATTTATGATTTGTCTATCTGTCAGTATAAGTAATTTGTTTATTAGTATCATATTTTTGTAAACATTTGTAAATATCAGCGAAGTTGTATATACATTTTATAGTTTTAATCCCTAAAAAACTACCAATTAATTTGCGTTTGTCATTATATATTGAAGTCCGAGTGTTCTGTCGACCTTGAGCTTCACTTTTGTATTAATTATCAACATGTTCCACAGTATTTGCCGGATGAAATGAATTAATGGCCTAATATATTAAATTTTTGTCATATATTCCAGGATCGTTTTTACAGTTAAAAGTAAAATAGATGCCACTAATGCCGCCTATACTACAGCCAGACTAGGTCTGCATACTGATTTGCCATACTTTGATCATACGCCAGGGGTGAGTAGGCGAAATACATTGAAACATGTGTAATTCAATTTATCGCTTCAATTGTTCAGATCGTGTCCAGAACTGTGTGACTTGTAATGTCTGCAAAAAAAACACAACAAAAAATAAACAGTACGCCAACAAAAACATCATCAACGCTCAAACGACCAAAATGAAAAAAGTGAATATATAAATATACAAGTTATAACTATAACTTGAAACTCGGTTCCAGCTGACCGTTATTGTTTCCAATCACAAAACTTAAGACTTAAGTCTTGGCACAGATATAAACTGATGACAACTCTGAATAACATCTTATCAACTTGAAACAACACAACTACAAAAGATCTATTTAGGGGAAAACGTTATGTATCTAATGGAGAAAGACATTAGATCAGTAGCTAAAAAATATTTAATTAGTTTACACTGAACTACACGATGAGTAACATTTTGATAAATATATTCTCTCCAATATAATACATTTGTGGAATTAAAAATGATCACCTTGTTGTACAGGTACAAATGTTACACTGCATTCAGCAATGCGAAGGTGATGGTGGTGACAGCGAGTTCGCAGATGGTTTCAAAGCAGCGCTTCAGCTGAAAAATGAAAATCCCGAAGCGTTTAAGATACTGTCAACGACCTGGATGGACTTTTTTGATATTGGGACTGATTACTATCCATATCATTTGCATAGACAAGCGAAAACCATTTGGTGAGTACAAGTTAACTTAAATTGAAACATGGAATTAAACAAATTAAATGACGCGACGTTATAAGACAGTTTCCTTTTTCAACAGTCTTGGAAGAAATGGTAACGTGGAACGTGTCTCACACAGCCAGATTGGTCGATCTGCAATGATGCGTATTCCAGTGGAACAGGTTGAGGCGGTCTATAAAGCGTTGAAGGCTTTCGACGACATTCTCCACCATAAAGACAATATCATAAAATTCAAAATGGAATCAGGTAATTAACCTTCACCGTACTGTTATTTCATTTTTCTGGTATTTTATTTTTTATAGAACTAGTATTCGTTTTTAAGATGTTTTTAAGAACAGTTTGGTTATAAATTTAAACGTATAATTTAGTTAATTAACAGCTATTCAAATTCTAATTTGTATATTGTATTTTATCAAAATAAGGATCGGGTAATTTTTCCAAATGTCTATTTGTTGTGTCCATGAAGATATGAATTTATTTCATCGTGGTATATGTTTATGTCATAATTCTTCAGGTGATATGGTCACTTTTAACAATACACGGGTACTCCATGGAAGGTCTGCATTCAAGATTGGGCAGAAAGGAAGCCGTCACTTAGAAGGTGGCTACATTGATTGGGATGAAATCCGTTCTAAACTGCGAGTTCTGAAAGCAAACGCAAATGGAGACTGAGTTGGGCGGGTGTAAGTCGTTAAATGCATACCATTATGTGGGAATATCACACTTGTTAGCGGTTTCAATAAAATAGTAGTATTTCTGGATTTTCGTCTGATTTTTATAATACTATTAAAAATATAAAATATTTTTTGCCACTATATGAATTTCGATTTTCTGGCGCGCGATGAAATTGTGTCAGCAATTTGTTTGTTGCTTCATATAAGCTTACTGTTTTGATGAATGCAACTTGTGAATAATAAATAAGATCAACAACATGGCGGAGTTGATGACGTACTTAAATAAATGTATAACGAAACACTGGACGCCGCGAATTATGTTTGACACTGTTCTAAACTCATTTCAAGCATTCATTATTTGGGGTGGCAATGAGAGATGTGTAATGATTCTTTATCAAGATTATTTGCCTATTATACATAAGAAAGTTATTTTTAGCAGTAATGTGCTGTATTCTGCTACCGTAATTTTACTAGTAAGGCGATCAGTTCAGCATGAATACACCGCACATGTAACTATGATGACAATAGTACATATGTAACAATGAATAATTTAGATTTTCAAGAATTTCCTTAAATTGTTGATAAATATATAAAGTGTCGTGGGTGAGTTCGTAGTTCATTAGCATATATGGGTCAATATAGTGATAACAAGTCGTGTCTTTACATGTCCTAGTTCTCGCTAGTTCAATAGTAAAAGAAATGAATTAAGTCAACCGTTGAACTTATGCATGTTAATTTGTGTGAAATGATGTCTAATGTAGTTGTAAAGTTTGTTTGCAATCTGTCAATACAAGTCAGAGATATGGATCTAGATCAACATTCGTTCATACAAAATGACTGTCACTCGGCCATTCTAAATTAGATCATCAGACGTTCGTCTAAACATAAAAAGGCACAGTCAGTCATTCAGAATCCAATCTGAAAAATAAAATGACGTACATCTTGGTGCCATAATGTCCCATATATTTAGGAAGTTTGACGAAAATTCACTAATACACGATCGGGTTCCGAATAGCATAAATGCGTAATTTAATGAACTTTTAACAATAAAATGGCCGCCATTTGGACATCATAATTTTCCCTTTTCACATTCATGATGGATATCCCAGAAACTGCACATAATTCTGTGGACGAGTTTTGACTGTCGTTAGGCTTGTAGGCTTGTAGTCATGACATTGTATCTCCCCTTATCGTTACAATAAGTAGTATATGTGTGTATGCCTACGTATACGTGCTTGCTTACATGTATAGGAATGATATTGTAAACAATTTCTTCATAGTACTCATATCACCATGACTTGCAGATCTTAAGTGATTGACAGGTTACCAGTCTTTAGTAGTCCACCAACGACTGGTTAATGATTGTGAGATATATCTTGATTTGATAAGATTACAAGGGACTTTTGGTCCATTGGCGATTGACAGGTATTATTTATTGCTTGACCGTTGTCATATTGATATGATATTGAGTGATTCGTCAGCTCGCTTCACAGTGATGGACCTAATACTACGTAAATAAATTTTGTTTTTACCAATATCTTGTTGCCAGAGAGGTTTGCGTGCTATGCTAGCAAGACACACGAATAGCGAGAAACGATACATAATGAAACATATTCGACAGGTAATTCACTTAATCGACTCGAGCATAGTGTCGGCTTCGATAAAACAACTGCACTGTATAGACAAAAATCTGCACTTTAAACTCGGTTATTAATCATCTACTTTGTGAGGGTGCCCGGTGGGTGGGGGAGAGACGTGCCGGTTCGAGTCACACACGCAGTGTACGTTTACTTAGGTTTTGCACATTGTTTACCCCGCCGTTTGTTTGGTGTTTTTACTGCAGCGTTCAACAGTGATTTCCGTGCCAACATATTTAAAAACAATTATACAAATGTACAAACCACCATATCGACTATCGATACCAAATGAATTTATCATCCACTGAAAGCAAATACATACTCACATACTTCAATCTCTATATGTAGCAGTTGAATTTTGTTAGATGAATCTATGTATGTGCATCAGGCCATGTACAAGTACACATGAAATCACTCGTAGGCGGCGATGTTACAGAGTTGCGAATCACTTTCTTTATTGCATTTGTCTAGTAAGTCTTAAGGCCTCACAAAAAAAGAACTGTTACTGGCCAAATTCTTTTTCATTTTTTTTCGTATGAAATTTTGCAGGTTTAATCAGTTCGTCAACAGAGGGCGCTGGTGGTGGTGTACTGCAGTGTATGCTGGCCAGAAACATATTGTCTATAGGCGTAACACACTGTTTCAGTAATCCCATATCATGTGTTCATGTACAACATATCACCCACATGACCTGGTAACGCACGATACAATTTACCATGGCAAACATTAACAGATTTGTAGTCGGGAAGTCATACCCCGAAATGAACACACATACATAACGGATTGACCTTACCTCAACTAACAACACCCAGGGAGGACAACAGTGCTACTTAATTAAACATCTACGTCTCGGCACGCATCAGTTATATTATCTCGAAGTTTGCAAGGCAATTCAAAAATTACAAATAATGTAGACATTATGAATGAATGTAAACACTTTATTCTCGGGCGGACATCCGGGCATTTTCCCCGACTGGTAACCATCACGGTGAAAACAAAGCCGGAAAAGTCTCAGAAAACGGTACTCTGGGAAAATTGAGAGACTCCTCTGAACAGTTTAACAAGATTAACAACATATATAAGTTTGGTTGCTCGGGATTACTTCAAAGTTGAGTTTGTGCCGTTTTCCTGACTTAAGCTGTTTTCACCGGCTCTTCGACCTGCATTCCACATCAGCTTGCACAGAGACCATGTAAATACATAGTTATACACGCCTTAGCAACATAGAACGTTCTGTGACGTTGGTTAAATACGATAACACTGATACACTAAAGATCTCAGATGACATCAATGTCACTTTTCTGGTTTAGACCTCGTGTTTGTTATAGCTCATGCTGATATCAGATTGATATATGCCAGGTGTCACATGTGGAGCATAATGTGGCAACTTTTTTGAAAAACCTTACAGACGTATACCTTTGGGTCTGTGTATTATCTCTCCACTGAGTTGACCATGCTTTGTAATGTAATGTAATGTAATGTAACGTGATGTAATGTGATGTAATGTAATGTAATGTCGTTGTACTGTAATTGTAGTTATATTGTATTCATTAACTTGTTATATTCCCAAGGCGACTTTTGTTTAATTGTTTATAGCCGGGTATATTATTTTATGTTCCCACTTTACATGTACAATCCATTTTATAAGTGATTACTTGTTATCAATAAATATCGTTCCCATTTGTCCATATTGCATATTTAATTATTCTTCGCATCAAATCTCAGACTTAAAAAAACATAAATGTTATAATTGAATACATTAAAGAAGTATGAGCAATATTTTTTTAAAGAAATTAGTCATATTTTGAAATCATGTACTACTGAACCAAACTGTGTCATTGATATACACATTACATGCATTGGTACATGACATATCATCAAAGAAAATTAGAGTACATTATTGCATACATATAAAAAATGTGATAATGTCCCTTTTATCAAAACAAAATGCACACAACATGACATTGTTATAGGTAAAGTTGATTTCTAATTGTAAATTAAAAATTGTAATCTCTCTTGATACTATTTAAATATATGTATTTTGTTTTTGGTGTCCCGGGTTCCACATAACAATTAGACGTGTATCAAGGCACTATATATAGAAGATGGCACAAGAATAAGTAAGCTATTGGGTTGTGATTGGAATGTCAGTGAACAGTCAGCTTAATCAACTTTTCCTGAATGCAAATACCAGTGAAGTTGAATAAGCTTCAGTTTTTGGCACTTTCAACATCTGTGATAATGATATTTACTATTTGATTTTTTTGATTGGATGACAGGCAAATTTGATTTTGTTAAGTTTTAGGTACTTAACTTCCTCAAGAGTGGGAAGTTTGATTGTAGTTTACTCATAGTTATTCATGTTATGCTTGTAAATGAATAGTAGGATACAATTTTAATGTTATTTTATAAATGAAATTATGATCTGTCGGAAGATTATCATGGTGGGTCGGAAGACTGAATTCACAAAGTACTGTTGTTACAATGTAATTATTCATGAACGCAATGTATTCGCACTCTCCTATATTTCAGTATTTTTCAGTAACAATTTGAAAATTCGAAAAATATTACTGTGCCATCTGAACAATTTGAGTTTATATCGTAAGTTAAGCACTCGACCACGGAGTCATTGTGTAATAATCCCTTATCATGTTGATTCTCTGACTAGCAATTTGATATGCAGACTTGTGCTGAATTCAATTGTCAATTGGGTAGCACGGTGTTGCAATTATAAATAATGTGTATATTGAGCCATGTTGTTTGCCACTAATATCTCATAAAGTTTTCCAATCGTGGCATCGGTATGGGGTTCCCAGGTTCTCAATACATCTTCCATTGGTACCTGTCTTCGTATATCCCACAGTTTGATCAAGTTGTTTCCAATGCCAACTGCCTCAGCCACAATTTTCCAGTCACTGCCTGTAATGATGAATAATACACTGCAATTGTTATTTCAACATTATAAATTGTGATGTACTTATTATCAGGCCATTTTAACAATTAGTTAACATTAATGAATCGTAACCATGTGTGTGGGAGCTGTGTTGTGCTATACCCGAATAGAAACCATTCATTCATTTTTTTGTCAATGGGACGCAAATTGATATCTGGGTGGTTGTCGCGTAACATCTAAAAGCGCAATAATTGTTGATAAATGGGTATAAATGGGTATAATTTTATTTTCTGCATAGCTGTTCTGATGGCAAAGTATAGACCCTATTTGAAACTGATAGTCGAGATGAAGTTGAGAGCGACACAGCCTCAATATTGGTTTTTACATTTCTCGAAAAGGTGTTCCTTTCTCAACCGTCTTCATGTGCACTGTTCCAAACAGCGTGGCTCGGCAAAAGGTTCCCCCGTT